TGTTCAAGAGGGAAGACTTTGGTTGTGGGTAGGTAAGGAGCCACAGCTAGACTTCCTTAAATATGCATTCTCATGACTCCATCCACACCATTTGCTTTTTTTGTTTTGCAAAGAGATTGAAAAATGAGTGGAAGACATTGTATCTGCCATCTTATGGGACCCCCAGGCTAATGAGGCACACAGTACGGTCTCAGTGCAGGTCTGTGAAAGACAGATAGATGAGTACATAGCTTTATTCAGAAGATTTCAAATAAACAATACTCCTAGGATTTCTAAAAGTGCTATGGGTTAGTGGTTAAAGCAGGGAGTCTGTAACAGCAAAGGAAGTTCGGATACCAGCTCTCTACTGCCAGCTGTGACCTAATCCCTCATTCTCCTGCCTCCTTGTCCACACAATGAGGGTTCATAAATATAAAATTCATAATTGTAATTTGAAACATATAAGAGAATATTACCAGTCTTGGCCATTCAGAATGCCTCTGTTTGATAGCCTTAGTTACTGAAGGAACCAGGGGAAGGGATTGTTCTTGTTGTTTCAAAAATTGATAGCTTTATAGAAAAATAACAATATTTATAAGCTGAACTTAAAGCCTTCAGAAAAACTAGGCCTTAACATCTACTACTCTAATAAATTGAATTTTAATCACAAAGCGAGCATGTATTCTTTTTTATATTCAAAAGCGTCCCCCTTCACCCTTAGATATTAAACATCTCAAATGACAGTGATAAGCAGGGACATTTCCCAGAATATCCTATGGCTCTACTCCAGTTGGTCCCAACACAGAATGGAAGAGCAGGCCATTCTGGGTCAACTTTTTGGCCACTCTTCCTTTTGCAGGCAGTCCTCCAGAATTAGGTTGCTGTAGAACACCAGCATGTGACTGAGGCCTGCCTTTTGCCTGAGACTTACACCTTTAATCCAATGTGATATGATAGAAACAGCAATGAAACAGCAGACTGAGCATTTGATGGCAGATGAGCCATCTCCCCTAATGCTACCACAGAGATCCTAGAAGAATGATTTCCTCAAGTTTAGTAAAGAGAAACCAGTGATTGGTAAAGAAAGAGACGCTGGAGTATTTTTAGACTGGCTAGAGTAGATAACAGCCATGAATATATTAAACCTGAAGATAATTTTCTGTTTGAAATGAGATTTTTAAATAAAAACATTCAGAAGTTGTTGATTAATAATTTACGTATAAATTATATGAAATAATTTTTGTAGACCACTTAACAAAACATATCTGTGCTCTAATAATTTATACATGTTCCATATGACACCAAGGCCAAATGGAAAATGACATACACATTTATTTCTTTTTTGAGACAAAATCTTGATCTTGTCTCTCAGACTGGAGCGCAATGTCTCAATCTCGGCTCACTGCAGCTTACTGTGGCTCACTGCAACCTCTGCCTCCCTGGTTGAAGCAATTCTCTGCCTCAACCTCCTGAGTAGCTGAAATTACAGGCACCTACCACCACGGCCAGCTAATTTTTAGTCAAGATGGAGTTTCACCATGTTGGCCAGACTGATCTCGAACTTCTGACCTCAGGTGATCCACTCGCCTCTGCCTCCCACAATGCTGGAATTACAGGCGTGAGCCACTGCACCCGGCCATAAATTTTATTTCTTATGTCTAGTTGGATTCTTCCTGTGCAAGGAAGAAGATGTGTAGAGTAAGAAACAACTGAGCTGTCCTTTCTAATGGTGTCCTGGCTTTGCAAGTGAAGAGAACATGATAGCCTCTTCAGAAACAGCACTGAAAAGAGAAAAAAACAGTGCTGTCATATAGAATTGGATTAAGAACTGTAAACAAAAGTGACACTGTACTCTACAAAATCTTTTATCTGAGTACATTCCTGTGTGATGTAAAGGGTTGCGGGAGGGTCCTTCTCCCTATCAGGTGGCACCCCGTAGGCCTTCCAATGGGTATGTCCTGTAGGCAGCCAGTGAGGGACTCCAGCAACTTTAAGTTGGGGAGTCACACATTTAAATCTTTTGTCAAGGCAGCCCATTTTCCCCGAAACTGTGGAGAAACAGGCAATCTCACTCATGGCTAGTGGAAGGTAATATCAAATGGTAAGTTCTACAGTGGGGTGATTTACCTATTTTTACAAAATTACTTGCATGTAAACCTGCATGCAACAAATCTCACTTCTGGGAATTACCTCCACAGATAAAGTGCAAAAGTGCAAAATGACAATTGCTACACGCTTAACTGTAGCACTGATTGTTACAATAAAAAAAATTGGAAACAATATGAATGCCCATCCATAAGTGATCTCTTAAATAAAAGATGGTTCATCTACAGTGGAATATGGTGCAGCAGTAAAAAAAGATTGAAGACATTTTCTATGTCTTGAAATAGGAAGATCTTCAAAATATAATAGTAATAAAATACAAAATTTTGTATAAAATACAGAAAAATAAAACTATACTTGTACCAGCCAGGCACAGTGGCTCAAGCCTGTAATCTCAGCACTTTGGGAGGCTGAGGCAGGCAATCACTTAAGACCAGAAGTTCAAGACCCAGCCTGACCAACAGGGAGCAACCCGGTTTCTACTAAAAACAGAAAAAATTAGCTGGGCATGGTGGTGCACACCTGTAGTTCCAGCTACTCAGGAGGCTGAGGCAGGAGAATCGCTTAATCATGGAGGGCGGAGGTTGTAGTGACCTGAGATTGCACCACTGCACTCCAACCTGGGCAACAGACTCTGTCAAAAAACAAAATAAACAAAAAGGCCAGGTGCAGTGGCACACGCCTGAAATCCCAACATTCTGGGAATCTGAGGCAGGCGGATCACCTGAGTTCAGGAGTTTGCGACCAGCCTGACCAACATGGTGAAACCCTTTCTCTACTAAAAATAGAACAATTAGCTGCATGGTGGTGGGCGCCTGTAGTCCCAGCTACTGGGGAGGCTGAGGCAGGAGAATCACTTGAAAGCTGATTTTGTGGCGCAGCCTCTGTTGAAAATGGTATGACGCTTCCTCAAAAACTTAAACATACAAATGCCATATGACCAGTAATTTCACTTAGTGATGCATACTCAAAAAAAAAGAAAAAAAAAATGAAATTAAAAAAAAAAAAAA